AAATTAACATAAAAACAAATAAAAATTTGTTAGTATAAAATTAGCGACTGAAATTCAATCAAAGTGAGCAAATACATGTCACACTTAGCGACTGAATGGAAACGTAAGTTGCAAAATAGCCACTCAATTAGCGACTAAAATATATTTAAAGTTTCGCGCGATATATACAACCTATGAAAAATTACTCAGACGCTGTTGCAATCTCATTTTAAGAAAAAATAAAATAAAATAAAGTAGTATTCAAATTAACTTTTGTCGGGAGTAGAGTTGATTTTCAAAGAAGTAAATTTTTAATTTTAAAGTAATTAAAATCAATTCACCTTATTGGATCTATTAACATTTTATAAATATGTTTATATGTGCGTGTTAAAAATAATTTTATTTTCTCAACCTAACAAAATATAAATTAAAAGTTTCAATCATAATTATTTTCAAAATCAATTCTTTTGAATTATTCTATTTGAAAATTAATTGAAGGTATTCGGGTCAAGATCGTTTAAGTGGCTATAGAAATTAGAAAGCACGCGTGAGTGTTGCAATAATAAGAAACTGATGTTTACCTGATTTTATGAACCCAAAATGGCCCATTGTATAATTGAGTTGATTTTTTAACGTTGTTCATTAGAGTACGATTGGTAAAACTCTTCATCGGTCATTATATTGATTGTTTAGTGTTTGAGGTGATAATAAATTGATTTAATTTTACAAAATATTAAAAATTAAACTGATTCATTTTTGTTCGTAATTAATAGTCTCTTAGTGATCGAACTTCATATTTATTGTTAAAAGGGTGATTGAACAAGAACATAAACTATTTGCACTCTTGTATTTGAGTTTATAAAATAGTCTTTCTTAATTTTTCACCTAACAACGAGGGTTTTCTATTGGTGGATAAATAAGATGTTTCTTTAAGAAATTTTTTTCAATGCTCAAATAAGTAAACATTTTAATCATATTATTAGTATAAATTATTTATTGACTTTGTCAATAATTAATTTTTATTGAGGACTTTGATTGAGCACTTTTAGTGAATCTCTTCCTTGAATAATGATTTTTTAATAAAATAGTTTTTTTAAGTATAAAGAAAAAATGTCTTTATGTCTTGGTTGATTGAAATCAACTAATAATTAAAAGCAAAATCATATACATACTTTGACGCTCCAACCATAATTGACAAATTGAGTTGGGAGCTAATTGATATGGAGAAATCCTTTTAGTTTCCCTTTGTGGTTTGTCGAGTCGGTCACCTTATCGAACCAGGCTCTAATATCACTTGTTAAGCATTAGGGGGTTACCACACATATAAATATGTTTCTATATTGGTGAGATATTGTCCGTTTTGGGCCCAAGTCCTCACAGTTTTGTTTTTGGACACCATCCTGTTTACGGTGGAATTTGTTCACGGATTCTTTTTATTCGAACTAGCACGATTTCACGTTTCAATTTATGCGTGTTCGTGACATGACAGAATTGAAGACTTTCAGTGAAAAAAATAAAATCGTACAAGCAAAAAATAGAGTTTTCATTAAATGGTAACAGAATTACAATTCGTAAGGGTAACGAAACGTGTTTAGAATGACTACACTACACTAGACTAGATTATGCTATGCTACGCTATGCTATGCTACTCATAAAAAAGGAAAAAGAAAGGTGGTCGAGAAATCGTACCCAAAGCTGTCTCGTACGCACAGTATGCCTTATGCACAGGCTGCGGAGTGCATGTGAGGTATTGTGGGAATTAGATTTTCGACCCCCTGCTACGAGCATGGCTCGTTTAATTTATAGACAAAGATTTGGGAAAGGTAACTGTTTCTGACGTGCCCCGGAAGTGCATAACCGTTCTAAACTTCCACCTCGACCTCGTGGCTTATTCCCGGGCACGTCTTTGGATAACTCTTGGAAATGCTCATTAACTTCCCCAAACCGTTCTGCAGCCTTTGACACTTATCCCATGATTTACTTCAACCGCTCTTAAATCGTGTCTCCTTTAAGTTCTTCATTCCGAGAGGTTGCGAAGTGTGTTCGTGTATGTCCGGATTCTTGGGATTTCGAGTAACCACCGAAAAATATACTACTCGAGTGTTTCCTGATTTTTCTTGTACTTTGAGAGGTTGCGAGGCTGTGAGCCTTTCTCTTGAGCACCGTCCTTCCTAGTTCAATAATTTTGAGAGTTTCTCGAAAAGTGTCTTCGTATCCTTCCTGGTACAATGATTTTGAGAGTTTCTAGAAAAGTGTCTTCGTGTCCTTCCTGGTACAATGATTTCGAGAGTTTCTCGAAAAGTGTCTTCGTGTCCTTCCTGGTTCAACAATTTCGAGAGTTTCACAAAAAGTGTCTTCGTGTCCTTCCTCAGAAACTTCTTTGCCATTTTCTGATCACCTAGGATTTTGAGCACCTCTGTATTTCGAGTGCCTCCAAATTCATTTTCCGGTACTAACACATCCAAAAGACCTCTCAGCTAATAAAGACAATTATGTGTATATAAACTCATGATCATCCTCTTGTTTAAACAATATGAGACTTTATTTGCATCCCAACAGAATCTTAGGGTCCATAGATTAATAGATTAGATATTTATTCCTTCCTGGATGTTGTATTGGGCCAAAATTTTGCACCCCTTTCTAAAGTTTATCATGACAAATGGAAATGCGTCCAACTTGACATCAATGAAAGGTCGTGTTTTTTCCATTATTTTAGGAACCATCCATTGTTACGGGTGATTACAACAAGTGTACCCTCCTAAGTTTGGAGGCTAACACTTGACATGTTGTATTATATTTTCCAGCCTCTATGTTTTTATCAAGCTAGTAGCAATTAATTAACTTATAAAACTTTTGATCCTTCGAATACAAAATTATTTATTATATATCTTAAGTTTTTTTATTATTGTTTCCTTAAAACACAAAACAAAGTCCTAATTAACAATTGATTCAATCTTAAAAAACGAACGGTGCAATTCACACCACTTTAACTTAAATTGAATAAAGTTTAAATTTAAATCAAATTAAATAAATGATATAATGAAATTGAATTAAATTACTTCTCTCTTCCAAACTTAATCCAATTTTCAACTACCAAAAAAAAAAACTTAATCCAATTGAATAGACGAGTCTTTTTTCTTTTCTTTTTTTTTTGAAACCAAGCAGACGAATCTTTTAACAAGCACGTCAGTGTATTGTATATATTTAATAGCATATGGACAATCAATCGTTATTCTTTTAGTCCGTTTACAAGTCCACGATTATCAGATTAGTTTTAGAAAAAACTGCCGGTCAACTGTTTCTTTTTCCAAGATGCATTTTATTTTATCTGCAACCCAAGACAATATAATTTCAATATCAATAGCTTATAAATTTCAATACCCAAACAATAAAATACATAATCAGAGAAAGGAAAAACAATCATAATCATGTCCCAATTTAATAGACAAAATACAATAAAGAAAAGAAAAGTAAGAGATAAAAGAGGTATTGTGTATGACAAAATAAAAAAGTTCATATAACAAAGAGAAAAACGAGAATCAAAGAAGTAAAAGTAATAAATTTATGAAAAGATCTACTTATATTTGTCTTTATTCTTTGATTTCTTTGTATTGTCGTACTATTGTTTCTGTGCGTCCATTTGAACTTCAAAGAAAGATGAAATAGAGACGCTACAAACGAGAGCTTAGATTGATAAAAATACTTAAAATGCATAGAATAATTTATTTGTGACTTGTGAATATGTTATATATTGAATAAAAGAGACCACCAAACAAACTCACATCCAAAGAACCCATTTATAGGGATTAGTAGAGAAAGAGGCACTTCGTACCTCTATATATTTATTTTTGAAAAAATTTTAAAAGAATAAATTTTGTTAAATTTAAGAATAATAATATCCAATATAAAAAATAGAAATTTATTTTTTAAAAATTTAAATTCTTTTTAAATCTAAGGATAATAGTGTTCAATAAAAAAATAAAAACAAAAAAGATAATTACTAAAACTTATTTCCTTTATAATAGATATGGATAAATTAAATTAACCAAATCAATATAACGAATTGGGTTATTTCAATTTACAATACAAGCAAATTAAAATTATTTTAAAAAAATTATTTACCATTTTAATATGACTTTTGAATAGTTATATTGCATAAACATTATGATTTTTTTCCTTTAGAATTATGAATTTTTATTTTCAAGTAATTTTTTTCTTAGAATATGATAATATGCATTTTGTATATTTTTCATACTTCACAAATATTAAACTTTTTGTACACTTAAAGAATTATTAGAATCTCACTTATTGTGAATCCCATTAATTATATATAAAGCATCTTTTAATCAACAAGCATTATGAAATTGGTAGTTCATATTGTGGGTTTAATGGTTAATATAGTTTTTTTTATACTATTAATCAATAAAAATTATTATTAGTGAGATTTATAAGATAATTATTATTATAAAAGTCAACCAATTAATCATCATGTAAATACATAACTTTTTTTTCCTTACTTGAATTATCTCTATTTGGTTTTTACTTTTATATTATTTTCTGTGTTTAAGATAATATTTTTTTTATGAAGATGATTCACATAATATTCTAAAACATACAATCAAAGACAAATTTATACTTGAAATATCTTTTATTAACTAAATATTATTTTAATATTAATGAAAATTAATCTTAAAAATATCAAATTGACCCTGTATGTTTGATACAAGATATTTTTTTGAATCTAGACCGAGAATGACTTTGATATACATAGATTTCTTAAGACATCTTTCAACAAGAAATGTTCTTCTAAATTTAAGAAACACGACCGTATATAGTCACATATATAACAAATTAGGCTATAACAAAATTAGATTATAAATTTATGAGTCTCCCTACATTGAAAAGAGATATTAAAAATAATGAAAATGAAAAAAGAAGAGAGGACGTAAGAATAAGATGAAGGATGTAGACTAGAGAATAGAGATGAAGCATTGAATGTGAAGATGTGGAAATGTGAAGTAGGCATATAAAAATCTTGCTCTCCATTACAGGAGATAAGGCAACATGAGAATGAGATTTCACTATCAAATGAGGCAATACAATACATTAATTAATTTTAATTCCCAACTCCAAACGCTAAAGTCTTAACACGCAGAAGCATGCGCAAGAGTGTTTATCGTTGAACACGCAAAACCATGACAAAGCTAACCCACCTAATCGGAATAATCAAAGACAAAGCATCGCAGAGCAAGGCGGCGCTACTCTCCCAACGGACCACCCTCTCCCTCCTCCGCGCCACTAGCCACGACTCCTCCGCGCCCCCCACGCGCAAGCACCTCGCCACGCTCCTCTCCTCCGCCGACGGCTCACGCGCCACCGCCTCCGCCTTCGTCGACCTCCTCATGGACCGCCTCAACGCCACGCACCACGCCGCCGTCGCCCTCAAGTGCCTCATCGCCGTGCACCACATCGTCCGCCACGGCACCTTCATCCTCCAGGACCAGCTCTCCGTCTACCCCTCCTCCGGCGGAAGAAACCACCTCAACCTCTCCAACTTCCGCCGCAGCACCGCCGACCCCACCTCCTGGGAGCTCTCCTCCTGGGTGCGGTGGTTCGCGCAGCACGTGGAGCAGCTCCTCTGCGCCTCCAGAGCCCTCGGCTTCTTCTTCCTCGGAGCCAACTCCGATAGCCAAGACAGGGTCTCGGCGATCACCAACGCGCACCTGTTGACCGAGTTTGACTCTCTGGTGGCGGTGGTGGAGGGGATCTGCAAGAGGCCCGAGCCCACCGAGAATGGCCTGGTGGAGGAGATTGTGGGCCTGGCCCGTGAAGATTGGGCCGTGCTGCAAAGTGAGGTGCGCGTCAGAGTGAGCGAGTTTAAGGAGAGGTTGGGAGGGTTGAAGTTTGGGGAAGCGGTGGAGTTGGTTTGTTGTTTGAAGAGGTTGGAGGAGTGTGAAGAGAGGATTATGGGCATGAATATGATCATGATGGAAGGGCCCCGGCCCACTAAGGAACAAGTCATATTGTGGGAGTTAGTGAGAGAGGTTAAGGATAAGGCTGGGTTGGAGGTGTATAGAGAAGAGGGTAAGGTGCGTATAGAAACTACAAGATTCCCAGTTAGTCACTCCGATCGCTTTTCTGCTCCACCTCTCACTGCTTATGATTCTCTCCTCTTTCCCTCTGGGAGGTTAACGCTCTTCTAACATTTTCTCTTAATTCATCTAAATATATATATCACATACAAACACCATTTTTATTTATTATTTTACCTCTTTCTCTTCTTATGACTTATCATATCCTCTTTTAATCCCATTTTTCTTTAGACTTCTCTTAATTACCATATATGCTTTCTTTCTATACGGTGAAACTTTATAAAACTAATCTAGTAAATTTTAAAATATTTAAAGTGTGTAACCTATTAACTCTATACCTTAAGACTAAATTATATATAAATACATTAATTGTTCTCATCAAAATAAAAACATGCAAGAAATTCTTTAATATTGTCTTCTTTTAAGTACTTCTAAAAATAAAGGTTGGGTACTTACAAAAATGATTCCAAAAATCTAATTATACTCTTTTTCTTGTCTTATATATTAACGTCCATGTATTTTCTTCTATTTGAAAATCATTAAGTTCTCTTTCCTTTATCTTGATAATTGTATCCAAAATAGTTGTACATATCTAAGTCAGACAAAACTATCTATTCTTCCTTTTTAATTACCAAGCCACATGTAAAATAATTCAGCTTTATTTGTATTATTGATATACTAATATTAACAACTTGATAAATTTGAAATTAATATGTATCGAGTTATACAAGTTGATTTTGTTGAGTTATGCAATAACTCGATTAGTACACTTATGTACCAAAATCCTAAGATTTTTTAAATAAGCATTGAAAATCTTAACTATGTATTTTAGTAGTCAATCTACATATTTAGAAAGATGATTCTTTTGTTATATATCATGATGTTGGTCAAAGAGCAACATGTTAGGTTAGTTTAAACTTGACCCCTTATATTGGTATGTGAGATTGACTTGATCGGAAATCAAGTTCCTTATTGATACAAGATCAAAACCTTAATATAGTGAGGTCAGTATATAACTAATTGTCTTGCCAATCCTGAGATGGATGGATCGAGTGAGGCAATTTCAAGTGAACCAAGTCAGTAAAAAGTTATTTGGTTGACCACTTCCAATTATTGATTTTTCAATACTAAAGAATACAAATAGATAAGTTTATCATTATAGTATTTGGAGTATTTTATTATAACATGTCGTCATAACAGATTATGAGGATTATGTCTCAATCCCTCAATATCATCTTGTCTCAAAGGCAATTTTTTTTCCAATATAAAAGACAAACTATCTTTACAAAAATATCAAAATATGAAGAACATGGTGGTGATCACTAGTAACTCTGAATCTGTTACAACTACACCAAACCAATACTTATAACTACTCATCCATCTACCCAAAAGAGTCCCAACTTGGTTGTGACCAAGTTAACCAAATACCAACTACGACAATAAGGTCGACTTAATCAAGTCAATGATGACTTATGATGATACATAGTCCTATCAACCTCAAACCTAAAATGCTTGAAGCTAAAACAAGTCTAAAAATATATTTGGACGTAAGCTTAAAAACATCTTTTAAAACTTCTCTACTAAAAAATACTATTTATTTTTAGTGGGAGACTCTCAAAAATACTTCAAACTTATATCTAAACAAACTTTAAATTGGTTAAATTATGAGGATATAATTGCATTATATTTTTATTTTCTATTTTACCTAGTATACCTCAAAGGTGATATTTATATCTATATCTAATCAATATCTCCCCTCCCAAAAAAAGTGACAATAGCACCACATGGTTGGTGTTAGTGTGTTACTAATTTGATGATTTATAAGGATGTATGTTCTATGAGTGATTTGAAAGATTTAATTTTAAGATATTTATTCACTAAGAATGACTTAGTAATAAAAAAAACAATTAAAGTAATATATTTTAATTTTATTATCGTCATTAAAAAAAACTCAAGTTTTTTTTTTCAATAGCATACAAAGTTAGGAATGTGACGTATTGACTTACTTTGCCTCTTCTTTTGTATATCATAATTGCTAGTCTAACAATTTTTTTTTGTACAGTATTGATAATAAGAATAGAGCATATACGTACCTCCAATCACATATCACACCATTAGGCCAAACTTAATGACATTGACTATGCTTGTTCAACTATATGCCTATAAGTTAAATGGAGCTAACTGCAAATCATCAAAAGCATATTGACGGGTCCACCAACTAATCTAGTTCCATTATGCTTATTGTGATTTTCACAGCTAAAGATACCTCCGTTTACAATAAAAATTAAATAAAAAAAATGCTCATACGTTGTCCTTAAATAATTTTTTTCATCGCACAGTTCTCATCCTAAAATAATCAACACCTGCGTTCGATTCAAGTATTTTTTTTTTTACTTTCTCAAGAATAAATTAGGAAAGTTAATTTCTTGTTTGGTATACTAATTAAGAAAAATATATTTTTAAAAAATATTGTTTCGAATAATTTATATTTTCTATAAAATTATTCATATATATAAAAGTAGATAAGAATCTAACATTCTTGAGTTAAATAAAAAGTTTTATTCTAGTATAAATGTTAGGTTACTTTTTTTTAGTCCTATTTAATATAATAAAAGTTATTGATTCCCTAATAATATATATAAATATTTATCAAAATATTTATAATCAATCAAACACATTTTAATCATTTATAGGAACCATGAATTGTCAAGATTTGTAATTCTCATGAATCACGATTTGAAAATTTTTTCCTTCTTTTAAATTCCTCTACCCTAATTCATACATTATATTAGATATGATAAGATAAATTAATATAATATATTATAAATTTGTTATTTATTTAATTTGCTAATTATATTATATAAATTTATCTACCAAATATCTTTTATACATTATCGAAGAGTAATGATGTAGTATAATAATTTTTTTTGTACAAATATGATTTTTCTATATTAAAATATTGGATAACTTAGGGGGGTGTATTGGATTAGGATTTTAAAGGACTTTTTTAGTGAAAAAAAATCTTGCGGATTTTAAAAGACTTTGCAGGATTTTCATGACTTTTAAGATTTTGCAGGATTCTACAAGATTTAAAATCAGGATTTTAATGGATTCTACAAGACTTTTAAATCAGAATTTTAATGGATTCTGTGGGATTTTGTGGAGTTTTGACATTTGATAAGATTTAAAAAAAAATTCATACATTCAAATTTAAAAAGAGTCAAAGATAAAATAATTAAAAAAAACAATAATGTCTAGATAAATAATAATAATAATTCTCCATAATATTCTATCATCTTTTTATAGCATCCACTATCAATTGTAACAATTCATCGGAATCCTCCTTGGTCTAAGCTTCATAGTTTTCTTTCTCTTTTCCTTTTTCTTTATTATTTTCATGTGAATCTCCCATTTGAATTACTAAAATAATATATGTTGAAAACCAGTTATATAAATAATTATGGATAAGAGACAAAATCAATAAAATTATATTATTATTTTTAGAAGCACACCAATTATACAAGATCGAATATATCTTGGCTATCCAAATGGATCAAATATCTCAATCATTATAAAAAAAATGTAAAAACGAAAATATAGAAACAAAAGATAATTTTTTATATAAAAAAAATTAGTATATTCGATACTGAGAAAATATTTAGATATATAATCTTTTTATATAAATGGGAGTATTTAGATATAGAGAATATATATATATATATATATATAT